AGAAAAAACAAAAATTCCATAATTTTTATATCTAACATTGCAAAATTAACGGAAAAAATAATAATAGTTACTTTAAAACTATTCCACAAGCATCGAATAATAAAAGCAGCATTAAGTTATATAATAAACAACACTGCCCTTGTTTTTTGTATAAATATATACATGTATGAATAATTAGATGATCACAGTGTCTTTTCTTTAACACATTTTGCCCCAAGTTTGATCACATTTACTTGGTCATCTTCAAAATAAAACATAATAATAAATGGCAATAACATAATGCCTATTAATAGAAATGGATTCTAAAAATAACAATTAGCAATATTCATTCAAATACATACTCTAAATTGCTATTTTAGTCAATTTTTCGCCTCTTTTTGTAATTGTACACATTTACATCTAAACATATTAACCACTCGACACGTTTACAACCATAATATAAGCTGAATACACAAATATATCACACACAGTCATAAAAATATGCTATTAAATGAATATTAATCAATGTTATGTAAAGAATCCATTAATTGCCAATTTTGATCACATTTTCTTGTTCACATAAATTTATGTTAAAGTTGGCATTTTTTTATATCACATATCACAGTGCGAAATAAATACAGTTGGATTCTCAATACATGTAATTCATTAGGTCACCTTAGTGCAAAAAAAATATATATATAAACTGGTTAAACTCATTTTAAATTTCGAAGGACTTAACCCCATTGCACTAAGGTGACGGAATTTATAGCTTTAAAAATAAACTGTGTAAATATACACATATTTATTAGTCTTCTGAGAAATATATTATTTTTAAACAATTATGCCCAGAAAAAAAGCAAAGTATGTTTTTGCCCCCATACATAATGCTAAAAGGATGAGAAAGATTAAAAGACCACAATAGTTTTCAGTGAAACATTTATATATATAGTGTTAAAGAAAAGTTTAAATTTGAGCCCTGTCACGACAAAACCAACATTATGCGTTTGCGACCAGCATGGATCCAGACCAGCCTGCGCATCTGCGCAGTCTGATCAGGATCCATGCTGTTCGCTTACAAACCCTATAACCCTAGAGAAACTGATAGCGAACAACATGGATCCTGATCAGGCTGCTCGGATGCTCAGGCTGGTCTGGATCTATGCTGGTTGCAAACACACTATGTTGGTTATGTCATAGCACGGCTCAAATATTAATAATTCATTAGACAATTTGACAAAAGTCTTAAACAAAATAAGGCATAACTAACTTTCTATTACAGCCCCATTTTCTACCCAATTACAAATAGAGGCAAGAGTTGTTTGTTTCTGTGTGTGATTTTTTTTATGTTTACTTGTTTTAACAAATATTCTGTTTTAACACATTTTACATAATATCTGTTAATAAAGTTTTATCATATTTAATCCATTATCATTTTTTTTGAAAACATAACAAAAGATGTGCTATATAAAACTCTTTCTGATTTTTTCTAGAAAATTTGAAAAATCAAAAGGTCAGAGTTGATTTTATACATGACGGTATGTTTGTTTGTTTGATTGGGTTTTACGTCACACTGACACAATATAGGTCATATTGCGGCCTTCCAGCTTTTTTGGTGGAGGTAGACCTAGGGTGCCCTTCCGTGCAAACATGGTATGTAAAATCAGTTATAACACAAGTACAATGCTTGTATGTATGTAATCTTGGTGATTCAGGCTTTTATTATTGCCATAAAAAAAATCCCAGTTTTTATTAAGCTGTTACGACCCTAAATATCTTAATGGACTTGTTAATCTTTCACTCTGGACAAAACCATTCACCTTTTTTGGGGGCCGGAATTCCAAAATTAGTATTATTTGTCACTGACAGAAAAGCAAAAAGTGCTGAGACCAGCTTGGTCTGTGCTAGTGGCATAGGTCAAAATTGCTGCCGCCAGGTAAGGGTTAAAAAAAATTGATTTCAATGAATAATTTTCAATTATAAATCTTAATACATTTTAATAATTAACACTTGAATACTAGAATAAATAAATAGAAATTAAATATTTCATCTAATAAAGATTTCATCTAATAATAAAACTCATTTTTTTTCCATAATCATCAGTCTATAAACCCAAACATTAACAAAGTTATCAATGCTACACATTTTAAGAAATCGTGCTCCAAATCAGAATATAAACTATACAAAGGGGCTTATCTATAAGTCTTTATGGTTGAAAAAAAAAAAAAAAAAAAAAAAATCAGTTATCAACAGAAGGAAGAAAAAGATTTAAAAAAAAAAATCTACCACAATTCTGGTTATCTATTTTGTCAATTTTTAGATTTTTATCTCTTGCATACCTTTGTACATGGTAACAGCCAATAATTTCAAAAATGAAACATAACAATGATTTTACAATTTCCTTGTATTTTTTCCCTCCGGCTTCTTACCTTCCTGAACAAAGTCTAGAAATAACACTGATTTACTTTCAAAATGTGGGCGTTTGTTTTATCATGTTAATCTTGGTTTATGATCTTGTTGATGTAATGTCTGTGTAAAGGTGCGAAATAAAAAATAAACTGAGATACAGTATACCCTCGTTTAAAGACCACCTCTGGATATACCCTCTTTTAAAGACCACCTCTGGATATACCCTCTTTTAAAGACCACCTCTGGATATACCCTCTTTTAAAGACCACCTCTGGATATATCCTCTTTTAAAGACCACCTCTGGATAAACCCTCTTTTAAAGACCACCTCTGGATATACCCTCTTTTTAAAGACCAACTCTGGATATACCCTCTTTGAAAGACCAACTCTGGATATACCCTCTTTTAAAGACCACCTCTGGATATACTCTCTTTTTAAAGACCACTTCTGGATAACCCACTGTTAATGTTACCTTAAATTTCTTTTACTGTTTGGTTATCTTAAATTTCTTGTCATTGTGGGTTTCTTAATATAACATTGTCCAGAAAACGGGACATGGAAGTAATATAATATCAACCAGTCTAATAAACTCCGCCCTCAGCCAGGAGGCTGTGTGGGGGATAACAGGGGGAATGTGTACAAATCTATACATTCTCTATGTCCCCACACTTCCAGATCAATGCAATGGCTTTGGTCTGGCAGCAAAAAAATTTTAGGATATGTCCTGGGTAGGGACCGGTCTTTAAAGACGTGACTAGTGCATTGAAAATGTATGTTTTAGTTCATACGTCTTTTAAACACAGGTTCGTCTATGACCCAGCATTGTAATGATTTTTACAAGTCATCAAATTACCACGTTTACCCGTCAGGTTTTAATAGGCTTACGGATATCTTTACATCACAACGATGCAAACGAAGGGAAAGCTGCAATTAAATCTGCACAATAAATCTCCATTAACGGTCCAGCATAAAATATCTCCCATAATGCTTTGCCAATAAATAAATCTGCATTTATTGTCGACAGAGGTGTCAGAAAACATGCAATTAAGTTTTTCAGTGTTTTTTTTCCATTCTTACAAAAAAAGAAGAAAAAAAATGCCTTTCATATTCAGATTTCGAAATTCTTATTCATATATCAATTTAATTTTCCAAGAAGCCTTATTCATCTTTAGAAAATGATATTATATGTCAAAGAAAGAATCTACACAAGTAAAAAATATAAACTTGCCAGGTTTCCCGTAGAAATTAAAACAGAGCGTAGAAACAATAACACTGGGTCTAGTAATTGAAAAAACTGTCTTACTGTAGTCTCTGTGATATTACGTAAAATACTTTAAATAACTTAATAAATTTCCATTCTGACTAATAATGTTTTATAATAGAAATTATATAATTCAAATTATTATCTATAAAAATAATGTTCATTTAGGAACGATTCTTAAAAGGCTATTTTAATTATCTTGTTATAAAAAAAGAATATGGTTCAGTTTAAGCAATAAAAGGAATGCTTGATGTTTGCTTTATATACATGATCATATTCCTGAAATAAAAATTAATAATAGTTGATTCAGGATGCCTGAAAAAATGCCCTATATCAGCACTAAAATCAAAGCACAAATTTATTTTCAATATTTTTTTCCATATTTTCCTTTTTTTGCACTATTTTGGCAAGACAATGATTCCCATTGTAATAAATTAAATTTCGTCACCTTATTGCAATAACTGGTTAACTCCTATTAAATTCACAAGGATTTAACGCATTACTGCACTAAGGTGACAATGTAATCCCTTAATCTGCTGGATTTCTTAAATGGACTTACCCAGCTATCATCATTTTGGAACAGTCCATTATCATTCCTGGGGATATTAAATTTCTGAAGCTAACAGTACAGACCCTGGTCCGACTGCAAGCTGACCCTAGCTCTTAACTGTTGTTAATGGCAAATCACTTTGGGGTCACAAAGTTCATAATAGACAGGCCTGGCTCTATACTGGTGGCAAAGGCTAATCACTTTACCTTCAATCAGATTAAGGGTTATAATATTGATTTTTTTTATATCAAAATACAAACACATGTTCTACTTTATAAAAACTTTCAAATGTAGCTTTAGACGCCCTTTAAAAATGAAAATAAAAATTATATTTAGCACATAAGATATTTAGCATTTTAATGTTTAATAAAGGGATTTCAATATCAGAAAGCTTAAATGGGATAGCCAACAGTTCAGTGTCAGGTAAAACTGCAAAATGTCAAGGCCGGCCTTATATATATATACTGGCAACATTGTCTTATCACCATAGCAACCAGCATCAAAGAAAGGAGTCAAACCCTCAAATTCTAATTGCTTTCTTTTATATAATAAATAGGAAAAAAAGGAGATCAGTTTTGAGTATACACTCTACAGGTATGTGTGAATTATGAATTTATGTGCGAAAAAAAAAATGCATAAGGTCCCTTTTTTATTCCCTTTCTCCCATTTTTTACTCAGAATCTGTTAAAAAGTTTATTAGGTTTTTTTTTTATCATAGATATTTTTTATAGACAGATTTAGAATATACTAAATAAACCTTAAAATTGTTCACAAAATACAGAAAAATACAAAAGTGTGAACTTCTTTAGAAAAATCTTTCTCTCCATTGGTATTTTGCAGAAAACATTGAACTTTAAAATCAGTTTTACATAAATATACTCATAATATTTATCATCAATCCAGCAACAAAAAATTGTTAAACATCTGCCTAAAATATGAACAAGTGAATGATTAATGATCAATGAAAAAACTGATCATTTATTTGTACAAATATCAATATCTATATCCTTGACAACGCCATATGTTTAAATCCTAAAACATATATCAATGGTTTTCAATTTGTTCCAAATCAAGCTCTTCTGTGAGTTGGAACACTTCCATATCAGTTTCATCCCCATCTTCCTCACCCAGAAGCTTGACTGGCCCACAATTCCCTGTTTCTTCGTCTGCTGCAGGGATCATTGACACATTATCACGGATATTGGATTCCAGTTCATGTATTGGACTGTTGCCACGTTTTACTGGTAACTGTCCACTAATTGGAATTTCTGAATCTCTAGGTGAACTTGCTATGGGCATCAGACTCATTGCATTCTCCAGCTCTGCATGAAACCTTGAACTCAGTCTCTGTCAAGAGAAAATCATAATAAATTTTATTCTTGACAAGATAATGAAGTACCAATTTTTTTTTACAGGGGAGGCTATTCTTACAGCCTTATTCAGTTATCCCACAATATAAATTGTGGTTTTCTCCCTTCAATTGTTTTGGGTCTCTTCATTACAGTATTGGGTCTCTTTAATACAGAAAAATAAAATTTTGATTTGCATTAGCTATATGATAAGAATGTTGAGTTATTACTGTTTCTCTATTCATGTTATATAAACATAATTTAGTATTGATAGTTAATAAACAAGTAAGACGTTTATTCATCATAAAAATATTTTCAGCCAGATTTTATCACTTTTCTTACAAAAAAAGTATACGCTGACAAGTCCAATATTTAGACCAGTACCACAGTCATGATCAGAAACAATGTAAGTTTAGAACTTGTATGCCAGATTGTCAACCACAGCCAAAGTAAAAAAGATATTGGTGACTTCTGTTTATGAACAGCAATGATACATGCGAGCTGTGACCTTCCTGGCCCTCGGAACTCATTAATTAACTTGATACAAACAATTATATAAGAAAATGACAAAGTCTGGGCATGACGGCTTCACATACACTGTGGACTGAATCAACCTGTGCGAAAACTTTGTTAAAGAGAAGTACCTACCTCTTTGTTAGGAGTTGAAAAGCAATCAGATCGTCTGGGGTGACCATAGGCAGTCTGAAAAAATAAATGAGAGACATACAAAACTCAAATTTATCAAAAACAAGAAACATGGCAATGCCACGAAACCAGGTTTTCAATTATCACCATTGTAGATAAATATGTTGTTGTTGAAATACAAATACAAGCAACAAACAATGTAACTATGTGCAATGTAAATCATGAATAATGAAACAAAGGGCCATAATTACGTAAAAAATTATCCAATCACAAAAACCCAACAGTATGCATCAGAGCACTAGATGACAAGGCTTCTGTGAAAGTTTGAACAAAATCCCTTGAGAAATGTAGGAGGAGTTGCGCACAGAAGAAATTGTTCACTTTATTTTCTGTATAAGGAAAAAAACAAAGGGCCATAATTAGGTCAAAAATTATCCAATCACAAAACCCCAACAGTATGCAATCAGGACACTTGATGACAGAAGCTTTAAGCTTCTGTGAAAGTTTGAACAAAATCCTTTGAGAAATTTAGGAGAAGTTGCGCACAGAAGAAATTGTTCACTATATTTTCTGTATAAGGAAAAAACAACGGGCCATAATTAGGTAAAAAATAATCCAATCACAAAACCCCAACAGTATGCATCAGGACACTTGATGACAGAAGCTTTAAGCTTCTTTGAAAGTTTGAACAAAATCCTTTGAGAAATTTAGGAGAAGTTGCACACAGAAAAAATTGTTCACTATATTTTCTATGTAAGGGAAAAAACAAAGGGCCATAATTAGGTCAAAAATTATCCAATCACAAAACCCCAACAGTATGCATCAGGACACTTGATGACAAAGCTTCTGTGAAAGTTTGAACAAAATCCCTTGATAAATTTAGGAGAAGTTGCGCACAAAAAAAATTGTTTACTATATATTCTATATAAGAGAAAAAAACAAAGGGCCATAATTAGGTCAAATATTATTCAATCACAAAACCCTGACAATATGCACCAGGGCACTTGATGACAAAGCTTCTGTGAAAGTTTGGTCAAAATCCGTTGAGAAATGTAGGAGGAGTTGCGCACAGAAGAAATTGTTTACGCCTGTCCGCCCGCCAACATACCTCAATATTATAACCAGATTTTTCCTTCGGAAAACCTGGTTAACAAAACCTAGTCAAAATATTGATATTTCCTCTCAAATTAACATTATCAGTTATCTTCCAGAAAAAAGTGATACAGTTCCAATTTAATACCTTATTGATCATTTTCTTAAATTTTAGTTAAGTTATTATTTTCAAATTGTTTTTTTTTTGGTCAGCGTTCATAAATAGATCCATTTATCAATTTCAAATTAAGTTGGTCTTGTTTTTTTGTGTTGTTTTTTTTGTTTTTTTTTTATTTGTTTGTTTTTGTTTGTTTTTTTGTTTACCGTATTTATTTTATGATGACAACCCTAGGAAATTATCAGTGTTCCTACAAGACAAAGCAAATAATTAATAACAATTTCAAAATCCAGGTCAATAACATCCATTATTACTAAGCTGATTTACAAATAGGATTAACTTAATGCATTTACTATTCCCAATATCTTTGTTAATGCCTAATACACCATTCCCCAGAAATCCACTTTAATACTATTGCCAAAAGAGCTTTTATCTGTATTTTAAACAATGGTGGAAAATTGCAACGGTTCACCTATTCAATATGCCTTCAGAGAATGCTCTAAAGACCAAAATATTTGTCTGACCTATTTCTAGACAAAAATAAATCAATTTGCAGTATTTTTATTTCCGATTACATAATCACATTTGAAGCCAAATGATTATGCAATGACATCAAAACAGTCTGGTTTGTCAATATTTACTAACAAGCATTTCATATCAAATTGGGCCCTAGTTCTATGACACGTGTCGACCAGTCTGGAATTCTTGGCCTCTGATTGGTTGTTTTCATTACAATGATTAGCAAAGTAGCCAATGACACAGATTTCAAGAGACTGGTTCCATTGCTCTTTCTAAAATCTTCTAAAATCTTAGTCTGGTTCAAATAAGCATAATCAAACGTGATTGTAAAATCAAGCAGTTCAAGAACAAAACTGAGCATGAGTCTGCAAAATTCACAGAACAGGTGGTTTTGTTGATACATCCAAATCTGTATGCAAAATTCACCTATGAAATAACCAAGGTTCAAGACAAGTCTTTACACTAGAGACAGTTTTTGCTTTACAGGTTCAATTTATCATTATAATTCAAAAGTACATATCTGTCTGAAAACCTGTGAATAAAAAATGGCCTTGTCTTGGTAGGAATCAAGTCAGACCAGTAAGGACATCAAATGTCAACAATTCATCATATGTAACAGCAATGGGTGCTTCCTTGATACTGCCAACAAGGTCTTGTATAGAAACAATGTCTTTCAAAACCTTATGTTGTCTTCCAACTGTTGTCAATAGCAAGTCGGTTTTTTTTTTGTTTCTTATTTTTGAGATGATGACGATGAGGGGGGGGAGGGGGGATTATATGTGGGGAGATGAAAAATATTAACAATGCCTGAAGGAAAAATAGTTATATACATGTATAGATAATCACAAAGCCATAGTTACAATAATTACATAGGCTGCTCCCTACATAGCAATGAAAATTTGTTTAATTCATCATTATAAATAACACGTCAAAACCAAGATGCCTCGGTCTGAGACGTGATTACGAATATGTAGAGTCATAATTATTCCTAGAATTCAGATATATAATACCTCGTTATATAACCTACAAGTTCTGTTTCCCTAATCTGGGTCACGATGACTCAAACGTCTACAGTGCATAGATGGCATCGATAATTATATTACCAATAGATTTTTTGCTGACTAAACCGTTTTCTAAATACATATCAATGCATAACGCTATCTACAAATCACAAATTAAGTAGAAATGATATTTGCCAATGGTGGGCAATTTAGGTTTTAGTTTCTCTCAGCAGAATTATATGTATGTAATATAGACTAGATCTGCTCAAAAACTCTATCATACTAAAAGCAAAATCTGGAGACATATCCAAACAGCATGAATGGATTTTATGCCCAAAAGAGCTTTTGACGACCATCTCTATTTTCAATTTTTGCATTAATAACTTTTACCGAAAACGAACCTACATCCTGCTTTGAGTATTGAACAAATATATGGAGATTGCAGTAATTTGTCGATACATTCAAACGACAAACATTCAACATTATCTTCTTAATTGGGAAAATCCAGACGCAATGTAAATACGCATCAAAGTTATCCGTAATAAACGATCACTTTCGGCAAGGTACGATTATACAACCCATGTCAATATTATCAAATAACCTAAAATTGCGAATAATTTGCCTTGCGAGAGATTTACACGCAACCTTTTTTTTCTTTCAAGTTTTCACATTGAATTTTTCCTTTCTCTTTTCAAACAATCTCGAGAAATATTCACAAAGTAAACAACCCGTGCATTCAGATGCAGAAATTCTGCACTCCCATTTAATATGATTAATGCCCTGCTTCTATTCTATTCGATAATGAAAATCGAAATCTTTCAAATACGGAAAGAGACTGAATTACAGTATCAGTTACAAACATTCTTAAATTGAGCCGTGTCATGACAAAACCAACATAGTGGGTTTGCGACCAGCATGGATCCAGACCAGCCTGCGCATCCGTGCAGTCTGATCAGGATGTTTTGTCGTGACAAGGCTCAATTTCATTTGGCACAGAATACGGACATGTTGAAAAGAACAATAATTGATAAAACGTAACTTTCGACTGGATTTTTTGAAATAGTATGAAAAGTTCATTTAGTCTGTTCGATAACATTGTTTGTTTTCTTTTATTCATAGTTTGGGAATAAAGGAATGTACTTGTTTTATTGGAGAATATCTGAGTTGAGAAATTAAGTATTAAGTTTGCAGGGTGTGTGGGGGGGGGGGAGGAAATGAGTCGCAATGACGGATAAATTGTGAATCTTTTAAATCATTAGCATCATTATTTTAGGGAAAATTGGTTATTCAAGCAATACGGAAAATTAAGCAATTGAGAACATGTCTGTCATGATGCCCAGATCCCTAAGAAAGAAAAAAGTCACTGGATAAAGTACTTTAAAATAGTATCAAAGTTTAATTTCAGAAAACCTGAACAGAGTTCAAAAACACAAAGACAGCAAGGCCTGAGAGGCAGACACCTTAACCACGTGGCAATTATCCATTCCCTAAAGCCTAAAGGGTCAGTGATGGCCAAGTGGTTAAGATGTCTGCCTCTCAACCAAGGGATCATGGGTTCGAGCCCTACTCGGGTCACGACCATGTTTCTCCACATGACACCAGAACTGGTTGGTTCCAGGAAGCGGACTCGAAGGTGATTTATTAAATATAAGTTGCAAGAACTTGTTTCACAATCAAGCTTAAATCTATTCCCTTGGTGCAAAATTTTACATTTATAGAGAGGTTTCTTACACTAAGTTACCTTCTTAAAAATTAGAAGATAAAAATATGTCAATAATTACAATGTATTCCTAATTCACTGATCATTTTTTTATACAGGAAAATAGATATTAACATTTCCCGTATTTTCCCATGACACTGAGGATTATTTCTTTTATTTTTTTCAATTATTCCTAATCTTTTTCTAATTATATGTAAATACATAACTATCACTCAAAGTAAATTACTTGCCCAATCTGATGTTAGTAACACCTGTTCAAAATTGCAATAGTTATGTCATGGTACTTGTTTTTAATGAGCTAATGGTACACAATGGGCCTTTTCCAATTGGCAGCCATTTTTATTATTATCGTTCAGAAAAACAGAAGAAAAGAAAAAGTAACAGATAACATAATTATATATCTGCAACTTATTATACAGATTTCCGACAAGGTCACGCATATTAAAACCAATTATACTTTTTTCACTTTTACAGTAGTTGTAAAAACTGAAAATGTAAATTGGAACTATAAAATAATGTTTAAAATTCATGGACATGCAGTTGTGTAGGCAAGGTCAAAAAGGAATAACCTGAATTTTCTTTAAAATAGAAACATTATTTAACCAAA